ATATAATTTTATATTTCTGAGGTGGGTTCTGTGAGAATGCTTTGAACATATATATTTGTTCAATATATAACTTTAAATTATCTTTGTTCATTATTAATTTAGAGTTACACAGTCATTTTTGCAGAATGTTTTGGTTATTTGCAAATACAAATAGAGAGAGCTAAAGCTGGCACTTTTGGTGCAGCTTGGAGGCACTTCCTGCAGGAATGCCATATTTATCCTAGAATACCAGTGTAATGAAAATGAAAACGTTTGTAAAATAGCTTTCACATGACCTGCTAAGAAATTTTTAAGATTTTTTCTTAATCTAACAAACTAGCTGTTAGCTCATTATTTTGTTCAGAAATGAACTGTGCTTGTTTTAAATTATGCTTTATTTGCAAATAAATGGGTAGTCATATCTGGTCTTTTCCTATTTGTGTTCAGTCCTTTTGGATATTTGAGTGCAAAAAGTCTTACATTGTTTCCACCATGGAATTAAACCACATCTAATTAAAGGCCTGAGTGAATGCAGCTCCTGGAAGCAAAGCCTGTGGATCTGTATCAGATTGGAGCTGCCTGATAGTAAACTCACTGTAAAAGGGCAGAGTCTGGAAAATCCACAGGGAGAAGAAGGGGGGTTGTGGGGGTGAGACAGGGAGAAATATGAGATGGGGAGCAGACAGAGGGAGGGGTGCTGCCTGGGTGTTTAGGAGAGCTGTTTCTCCCAAGTTTGGTGTGATGGACTGGAAGCCCTGCGATCCCTGCTGTTTTCAAATACGTGTTTGTGTTGGCTTCTAATTCCACACTAAGCAGACTTTGTCTGCAGACCGTTTACRAAAAAAGGGGAGCGAGAGCGTGTTTTTTGTTTGTGGAGAATTCAAAGTATCAGGGCAGTGTGTTTGAGCCAGTGAGGAATTATAAGGAGAGAAGAGGTTCTGCATGCAGGAATGCCCACAGGCCTTTTTCATTTTCTCTTTATACACATCATCCTCAAAGTGCTTTTTATTACACTGGAAGATGTTCAGTTATGCTGTTATGAGAAAAGTTATTTTAGAAACTGAAACCTAAAAATAAAAGCCAACAAAGCCACAGAGACTTGTGCAACTTAAGGAACACACTCYGTTTCACATACATTACAAATTTACTGAATAAGGTTTAAAATAAGCCCTCTTTGGAAGCAAAGCGCTCACCGTTACCTAACAGAAACAAGGCTGGAAAACTAAAAAACAATTTTGCAAATGTGTTGCAATGAGTGGATTATTCCAGTCGGCATTTAATTATGCCAYAATATTAACCCTTCACACCTTTTTAACTTTACCTTGTTAAGGATTTGAACAAAAATGCTGCACAGCGTGACCAACTCAAGTGACCAAACTGAACCGGATCACTTTAGCGAGTGATTCAGTGGAGCCATAAAGGGAGCAGAGTTTACCAGCTATGATTGTTTGCTTGAGAAAACAGAAGCAAACTAAACAATGGCGTCTTGTAAAAGTTTAGAGATACGATATTAGCTAATGTTCTTTCAGAGAACTATTTTGTTTTTGAGAAAGAATTGTTTCATAAGCTCAAAAACAAATGACAGGCCTTCATTTGGCTAGCAATTTGCCTAGCCTGAACAAAGACTTTTGCCACTTTTCTCCATACTCTCTGTTCTTTGACTTATGTCAGGGCTGATAAAAGTGCTAACTTTTGATAACTATTTGACASAACTTCATTTCAAAGTTGACTGGACTGTCCCTTAAATGTGTGTGCCCCACAGTTGGCTGGGAAATATGACCCACAAAAGGAAGAGGAGCTGAGGCTGTGGATTCAAGAYGTGACGGGCAAAAAAATTGGAGACAACTTTATGGAGAGTCTGAAGGATGGAGTTGTGTTGTGCGAGTGAGTGAAACTGCTTAATACTCAGTCGTCCTTAAACAAAACTAAAGTTAATTGAATGTTTTTTTTATCCTTGTAGACTGATTAACATTCTGCAGCCAGGCTCCGTGAGGAAGATCAACCATTCTAGTCAGAACTGGCACCAGGTAACCTAGCCACTTCAAATCATTTTTTGGGTTGTACTGACAACTTTTTTACATCCCATCACCCTATCATAAGCATTTTATTTCTTTAAATAAAAAGCTAACAATGAGAGCTTCTGCAAATTGCAGAAAACGCACTTCTGCGATGAGATTCTCACTTCCACATAGACATGGTCTTAAGCGATGGTCGCACAGACCATTTATCATCACTTCACCGCATTAATGAGATGCAAGGCCAGCTTACTTTTATGACATATGTCGACCTTTTCAGCTCCCAGAAGCCAGTTGTTAATTTAGCAAGATGGAACGTGAAACCAATGTACGTGTTCTTTCAATCTCTGCAGTTAAAAAATTAAGTAAATAAAAAGTTTCCTCAGCATCATCAACCAACAACACAAGTCTCTGAAACACTGAGTGAAAAAACAACCATCTATCCTGCCGTCACTATGTTATGTGCTACATGTCCTACACTGGGAGTGCTGTGGGAGGGATTAAGATGATTTAACCCCTGCTTCTTCCACACAAGTATGAACAGTCAGTAAGAAAAAGATGTCCCAAATGATGTAACCACATATCTGCTGTCTCACATCTTGTGGAAGAATAAACCATCCTTACAGGGATCCCCTATTAGTTGTAACATTAGACTTTATTTGATAAACATATATTTTAACTGTAAAATAAAGACTGTAAAAATACTGTAGTCTGTTTAGTTTTGTAAATTTTTAAAAATATATTTTAACACRGATGGAGCCATTTTATTTACACGCAAAGCATTCTGGGTAAATGATAACGTGAATAGGTCCTCAGTGTGAGGCTGCTAGCCAGCTATATCCACCCTGAAGGTTAATCTTGGACAATATCTGATGATCGACTCTTTTAAATGAAACCAGAGAGCGTTGACAGAGAGGAGAAGGTAGAAATGACTCAGCCTGTAACTGAAAATATGGATGGAGGACAACAGAGCTGCTTCATGGAAGAAGAACCTCAGATTAGCCTGTTAGTCTTTGCGCTAACACCAACACTATATTGCCTTATATGTATTAGCTCGGCGCTAGCGCGACAAACTAACAAGCTAAACTGAGGTCCTCCATCCATATTTTCAGTTTCAGCTGAGGTCATTTTTGCGTTCCCCTCTCTGTCATGTGGATGGAGGACCTCAGTGACGAGAGGAGAATGTGTAGCGTTGAGCTAATACATATATATGGTGATAGCATCGGGGCTAAGCTGAGGTTCTTCTTCCATGAAGCAGCTCTGTTGTCCTTCATCCATATTTTCAGTTGCAGGCTGAGTCATTTTTACCTTCTCCTCTCTGTCAACGCTCTCTGGTTTCATTTAAAAGAGTCAATCATCAGATATTGTCCAAGATTAACCTTCAGGGTGGATATAGCTCGCTAGCAGCCTTGCACTGATGACCTATCCCTGTCATCATTTACCCAGAATGCTTTGAATGTAAATAAAATGGCCCAGTCCCTGTTATATATTTTTAAACTTTTAGTTTAAAAATTATAAAAACTAAACAGCCTACAGTATTTTTACAGTCTTTGTTTTACAGCTAAAATATACGTTTATCAAATAGAGTCTAATGTTACAACTAATCATGGATCCCTTTAAATCCGAGCTTGTGATGTCTTTGGAACATGCCTTATATCTGACTCACCTCTTCTAATTTAAATCCTGTCTGCATCTTCCTTGCTGTCTTCTTTAGCTGGAAAACATCGGGAACTTTGTTCGTGCCATCACGGAATACGGCCTAAAGCCYCACGACATCTTCGAAGCCAATGATCTGTTTGAGAACGTCAACCACACCCAGGTCCAGTGTACACTCATCGCTCTGGCAGGAATGGTGAGCATACAATGTTATGCACTTACATCTACAGAAAAACTAGCCTATTATGTGCCCAGTTGTCACTCACCCAACTGTTWGCAGCACTATGTAAAATTTACTATCATCACAGTGTGTTCCTCTTATCGTCTCAGGCCAAATCCAAAGGTTTCAACTCCAAGTATGATTTGGGAGTGAAGTATGCTGAGAAGCAGCAGAGACACTTTGCTCCTGAGAAACTTATGGAGGGACGGAACATCATAGGCCTGCAGGTCAGAAATGTTGTACATTTAGTTTACTATTTCACAGTATAGTAAACCACAGTTCAGTACTATTAGCTTACATTTCAATAAGAAATTTAGACAGAATGTGATTTTTGATTTTTAGGAAAAACCTCAGATTATAACCTGCAAGATATTAGCAACATGTAAAAGGATACATGATATCAAAAACAAACCTTTTATTTCCTTTGTTGAGATTAACTTTCAAAAATACAACAACAATGATAATCCATGCTGTTTTTTTTTTGTTTGTTTTTGTTTGTCTTTCTCCAGATGGGCACCAACAAACTTGCCAGCCAAAAAGGCATGACCTCCTACGGGACACGGCGTCATCTGTACGACGCCAAGATAGGCATGGACAATCCGGCAGACCAGTCCACCATCAGCCTACAGATGGGCACCAACAAGGGAGCCAGCCAGGTGAAGTGAAACTTATTGTTTTACTCCACATCGTTTTTATCATTCGATAGAAATAAAATCTCAAAATTAGATGTAGCACAAACTTTTAAGTATTACATGTCAGTGTCTGATCATCGGTCTAATCAGAACATAATTTGTGCGATACACTAGCTATCAAGCAACTGCCTGAGTATCTGACACTCTGTCAAAACAGCAAGTGAAGGTCAGCAGACACAAAGGCTGAAGTGATGCATTAGCAACAGTTCATGGAGTGTGATAGGGGTCACATTCTGAGTTAGCATGAAACGGGGGGGGGGGGGGGTATCGTGCAATCACCCAGTGTGAGTGTACAGATGTCAAAGTGATCTGATGTTGGAACCAATGGGTATGTGATGCACCCACACAAGTCGTGAAGTTTCCAGTCACCAACGAAAGACTACACAAAGAGGTAATTGTTGTACAGCTTACAAAGCATTTTAGAACGTCATGGCATCATTACAGAACTTCACCGCCTCTTGACTGTCTTACCCCTTCCGAGAAAGCACCCTGGTGGTCTTTCAACAAGACAACACCTGTCCCTTCTCAACAGTGTATACTATGGACTGCTGTCATGTTAAGGTACTTTGACCAGCCAGGACCCCCATCATTCTCCCATCAAATAGGTGGTATAAGCTCAGACGTTAACTTCAGTTCAGTGCCAAACTGATGRCCATCTTGAGGGTCATCTACTAGAGCACGGGGTCAAATTTCTGCTGGAGTATRACTGATACTGTTCTGCACCAAATCACTGCTTGTATCCATACTTCAGGGGATATCACACCCTACATACATGGAACAAGCAGTTAGCCCATATTTCCAACTGTGTTATATATTTAATCTGATTTTGTATTTATTACAATACAATCACTCGACCTTTGAACACATGCTATTTGTTGAATTTCCATTTCTTTGTCTGTGTGCTCCCTACCCTCCTGTGAGTGTATACCATTTTTCTTGTCCACAACAATAATGCTGAATGTGTAGACTGATGCTCCCTCATGTGGTGGCTTTTACAATTGTCTTCATAGCATAACCTTTAAACTAAAAATAAAGAACTTGTGTAAAACATTTTAACTGAAATATCTTTTTAAAAATGCTCTGTCCTCCAGTCTGGCATGGTGGCACCTGGAACCAGGAGGCACATCTTTGACAAGAACCTGCAGCTGGAGAAATGTGACACCTCCACTATTTCTCTTCAGATGGGCACCAACAAAGTGGCCTCCCAGCAGGGAATGACCACCTACGGCCTGCCCCGCCAGGTCTATGACAACAAGTACTGCACCAACCCCATTGAGACCTATTATAACAATGGGAGTGAGGTCGAGTTTGACGGTTACAACCAGTACTCTGATTAAAAGAAGCCACGGACAACCTCTTCCCTTTGCTTTAAGATCAGACAACCAACCACCGCTGTCTTTGTGATGAGCAAACTTTCCAGACTGTTATTTAATGACGAAATACGTCATTTTTGTCTTCATTCCTAGTTTGTTTTTTCTAACCCTTTTTTTAACTTTTAGGAATTTGTTTGCTTTTCTATGAGCACAAGAAAAAAAACTGTTTACACCGACCCATCAAAACATTTCTTGTTGTGGCCAACTTCTGTCACCCTTGTTAACATTACTGCAGATTTAACGCAACACTCTGAAGCTGGGATGTTTTAACATTTGATATAATATATAGTTTGTTTTTTAATAGATTTCCGTGCTTATAATCAAATTTTTAAAGTTTTGATTTTTCATCCTCCTTACTCTTCCAAATCAGTTTAAACACTGAAGAAATATTTGAAAGAAGAAACCTATAATTGTGTTGGTGCTATTGAACTTTTGGAAAAAAGCCCAAGTTCACATTAGAGCTCCGTAAGCTTGAGAGTTTCACCTTTTAGGATGGAACAGAAGCTCCTGGTGCTCAGTGTGCAGAACACATGAGGACTTATAGGTTTTTGGAGATGTTGCTTTGTTTGGTGACCATCTGCTCTGACAAGACAATTAGAGGGATAATTCAGCCAGTTTGAAGTAAACTTCTGTGGAAATACTATATCCTAGCTGTTGTAGAAAGCTTTTTGAATGGGCTCACTTTGAAGAAATAAGAGTTTACATTTGACAGGCCTAACTGCTAGTCCAAAGTTAGAGGACCTTATAACAGTTCCAGTCTCTAACATTTAATAGCAATTCATACTACTGCTATTTTATGAAGCTTTAAACCTGTCAGTTTTGGATTATGCTCTTATTTACAAGAAATTTTATATTTTCTAACATGGGAGTTGGCTGTACCAATTTTGGGGAATCCGAGGAGCACTTACTAAAGGAGTTTCACAATATTTCTGTCAGAATGATCATGCAATGTGAAATGGACAACAGGGAAAACGTTTATATAATACAGTTCTTACGAAATTTTGTAAACTTTTGAAGATTCAAGCCGTTTTAGGACAGTAAAATTTGTGGGTCTTCTTGGACTGGCCAATGCTAACTCTTCAACATGGTCTGAACAAACCCATTTTCAAAATATGTATTTTTTTTGTCTTAAATCAAGTTTCCTTTTTTAAAAAAATCATACCGTTCCATCGAAACATTCTTTAAATTATTGCCCAAGTCATTGTTTTTTCATGTTTTACAAGAATCTCGAAAAAAGTCACAAAGTACATTTTAATAAATTTTTTTGTTTCCTGAAAAATGTGAAAAAAAAAGACAGGCAAAATTTAAAAAGGGGATGTCATGAAATACTATTTAAAACTTTCCAGCCACCATCAGTTTCACATAACATTTTTTTTCTTTTGCAGAAATACGATACTCCTGCTTTAAGTGTCCCAGGCTCCATTAAAAGTGCTAAGGCTGCCTACACTATTTGGGCATGTGCATAAAAAGTGTGTAGTGCCAAATTTACAACATTGTAAAAAAATTAAAAACTAGCATTAGCATGAACTGCTTTAAATGTTAGATCTAATTTGTTTTAAGACAACATCAACAGTTTGGTCTTATTTGAGTTTGAACTAACCATTAGCTTGTCAGTTCTGTCTGTCTTAAACTCTTTTTCTCCAGACTGAGGTTATTCAAAAAGCTATTAATTTCAACAAGAAGCAATATGTTATTAAATGATTAGATTTTTACAGGAGCACAATTCAAAATGACTGAACTATAACTTCAGTGCAACTAAMCAGAGTAAATGTCAATTTACAGGGGTAATTCATGTGGTATGTTTAGGAACATTTTGGTTCTGAGAAAGTATATTATTTACTAGAGGTTTCTGTGATGGACAGTTCATAGAGGAGCACATGCATTTGTAGTTGTTTAGTTTGAAGTTTGCTCAACATATTCAGCAGTAGTTTCTTAGCATGTTAACTTCTGTTTTGCCTTTTTGCAAACTTTCAGGCCATTTTTCTTTCTGCCAAATGCTGGAGTGGATTTTGGCTTTGATAGAGCTGCTTTATTTGCACTACACTTTGTGTGCAAAATACACAGGAGGAACGTAACTGGGTACATCCACTCAAGATAACTTATTCAAAAACGAAAAATTTGAGATACTTAAATTGATAACTTCATAACTCTATAGTCCGAAAAATTGAGAGGTACTACAATACTTTTAACATTTGTCATTACAGAGATTTTACACCTACTTTGAACACTCCTAAAACTGGTTTTAATGGAGTATTTGTACATTGTGTAATTGTTAAAGTGTCTGAGCACACTCTTATTTCTATATTTACTGTTAAGCAGTTAATTTAAGCCAAGAATTCTTTGCATTAAACTGAACTAATACTGTTATTGAAGGTACCACATAATATTGCAGGACTCATTACGCACACAGCTAAGGCTAGATGTAGTTAGACAAAAAGTTATTTTTGTGCTTTGAATGCCATTTTATCAATGTAAACCTTGTCATTGTTTTACCAATCCACCAAAATGATTTGTTTACTGAATTGAAATAAAGACGGTAGGTAATAAATGTTATCTTTGCAATAATTTCTCATGTTTACTTTTGGATGGAATGGTGATATTAAATAAATAAAAACAAGTTCATTTCTGTTTCAACATTTTTGCTAACCCGTTTTTCTCCCTTTTGTATGCCTTTCACTAAACATGACATTTGTGCAATAAAAACACTTCAAATTGGTGATTGTGATTTTTCTTTAGGTGACTTTCAGTACATAGTTACACAAAAGAGAAATATGTGAAAGTAGGGTAAATAACAGACATTGCTGTGATTTTAGTGGTACACGAGCTGATTTAACCAAAGAAACATTACAATTGCATCAATAACATGCTAAAAACTACACAACAGTGAATTGATAATATAAGACTTAAATAAGTAAAAATATTTTCTTCTTAGCTAAAAATCCAGAAGTAGCTATTAGAAGACAATGATCAGGTTTAGTACACAAGTGGAAATAAACGATACATTCTAAATTTTAAAAAAGGACAATTTGGTCCACCACAACACAAACAAAATAATGTTTGACATACGAAAACATAAACACTGAGAACTGGAATGCAGACAGACTTCTGTCAATACGGCAGCACTCTGACCCGGCCAGAGGAATGTTTCTTCATCAGTAAAATTAGAACGGTGCAACACTTCAGAAGAAAACAGTTTGTTTGTGTTCATGAAAACTACTTTGCTGAGAACAGAGTCGTGTTACAGAGAAGGTTTGTTAGAAGGAGTTTACTACTGGTTAGCTGCTTCGCAGGCGTCGATCCAGTCGCTGTAAACGTCAACGGGTTCAGAAAGATCTGAGAGAAAAGATGTTAAGGACCGTACAGCTTTTTTGTGGTTTTCTTAAGAAAAACAAGTATTTTCACCGGCGTTTGCTTTACAGCTGTAGATGAATAAGGTTTTAAATATCAGTCAAATAAACATTTAACAAGACTTTATTTTAGCGAAATTAAACTTCTAATGTACATGTAACACATTACACAACATTGCCTTTTTTTATTAAAACTAAAGTACTGACACAGCATGTGAGTAAAATATATATTCCTAAAGCTTATAGAATTATAATAATGTTTTAATGAATTTGACTGGGCACAGACCAAGCTTTGGCTGTTGGACACATATCCTCATATTAAACTCTAGAAGAGTCTGGTTTACAGCGGAGTCATGCTGGTCTCAATGACAGCAAAGTGCAAAACAAGCCCAAACTATCCTCCCTCCACCGCCGTGCTTAACAMTAGATTTGAAGCATTTGTACTGGTATGATGTTTGATTTGCTTCACATCTTCATTATGACCAAACATCTCATCTGTTTAAAGGACATTGTTCAATTAGTTTGGTGTTTTGTTGTTGTTGTTTTTCAGATGCAACTTTGCAAAATGAAGCCACGTATGTTTTTGCACAAAGGTACAGTGCCCGTCCAGTAGGGCTGTGTATTGGCAAGAATTTTGCGATACGATACATATCATGAGAGAGGGGTCACGATACGATATATCCCGACATATTTCAATACTGTAAACAAGGCGATATACAGTATTGCGATATTTTTGGTCCAAAAATTCTATTAAATAAAAACCTCTTACTGGGGGGGAAGAAAAACGAAAAACCAAAATTCATTGTCTCAGAAAATTCTAATATTACAGACATACTTTTGATACATTTAGCTGTGTTCTGCTTTGTATGTGTTACTTTTGATACATTTAGCTGTGTTCTGCTTTGTATGTGTTTTATTTTATTTGTTTCATATTTCATCCATGTTTTCAATTATTAGACTAAATTTGCCAATAAATAGTTTGAAAATACAGTTTTTTCAGCTTTTAGTTTTTAATATTAATTTACAATATGGTCATCCAACACTTAACAATAGCCTTTATGTTGTCATAAAGTTCAGTAAACAGATGATATGAAGCTGCTGCACACAGAGTTTCTGGGATCAGCTGACCTGCATCCAGAACATGATTTGTATAACTGTGGGTCGAACAGCAGGACAGGTCCCGAAGAAAACCAGTTAAGAAATTGAGAAGCTAAACAAGTTAAACCGTTTTTGAAGCGAACACAGCAGGATAAAGTATACGGACTTTGATGTGATCATCAGCCGGACATTGAGAGCAACAGACAGAGTTTTATGTCACGAGGGGAGTGCCGAGCTCGCTCGAGGTGACAGACGCATGCACTATATGCGTAACGTGAAAGCTGACTACAGTTGGAATAAAGAGCGCACAAAACACTTAATTTGTCTTAAAATACAGACATTCTGACAAATAAGTAACTGTTTGTAACCTTACCTCAGCTTAGAAGGCAGAGGGTGTCGGTCTTTTCCACTAAGATTCAGCTATTGGAGCATGAAGCTAATGTTTACTCACAATGCTAATACTCTCTTACTCTCTGGCGCTCAATAGGTAGAGGAGCCAAATGGCTGGCTCACTGCTGCAAACTAGTGGTCAGAGGCTGAACTACAACACAAAAATGAACGGCTGGCAGGAAAGTTGACATTTTAAACCTTAATAAAAAATCGATACAGGGCTTTAGAATATCGATACAGTAACGGGAAATGAAATATCGCGATATTTCAGTGTATCGATATTTTCTTACACCCCTACCGTCCAGTGTCACTGGATTAAAAAAAATGATCTTTTAGCGATCATACCACGTGGCCATAAGGTAAATAATGCATTGGTTTGCATTAACATTGCATGGCCATGAGATAATTTAAAGCAGTGTGTACATTATGACACAGACATTGCTGGAGTCATATTTTGAATACGATGTTTTTGTTTTAAACTGTTCAAAGGCAGCCTACCCCACACTTATTATTATTATTTACTGTATGTTAACATAAACAGTTCATCTTTCATAGTAGGCTATTTATGTTATAACAATGAACGCCCTACGTGTTTGTAGGGAAACAGATTTTTTTACGGTGTTCCTGAATGCAACATAACTCTGACTCCTTCCTCAGCCAAGACTCGATGTGAGGGAGGAGCCTGTTTTGAGGGTTGAGCAAGAAAAAGAAACTTTTTTTGGACAAATACAACTGCAGTCGTCAGCTTGTTTTATAGCTGCAACATAAAACACTAAGAATTACTTCATGACTATGGAAAATGACTGAAGTATGTCATTCATTCCTATACTAAAATTTAATTTAATTAATTCAGACTTGTTTATGTAAACAATCAACAGTCTCTGCATGTAAATGACTGCAGTAATTATGAAATGACCATGTAACTTTTTTTTAATCCAATGTCATTGGACGGGCTCTGTGGAAAGGGCTTTTGAATTGTGAATTGAACCTGCTAACTGAGGTCTGTATGGACAGGATGGACTCTTTTGTTTTTTAACAAATTCATTTCAGTGTGACTATAGCTGTAATGTATGGTCCTTCCTAAAATAACAAGCAGCAACTATAGTTTATTTTTTTAGATCAATGATGTTTTTCTTCCTCAGCATTGTGTTAGTACACACCTGTATGGACCCGAGTAACAAACTGCCAAATTTTTTCCTCTTAAAAAGCTACTCACACAATCATCCAAATTAAAGAAACGTACCCTCTTATTATGACCCCCGCACGCAAAGCATAAGCAGGAGTTATATTGTTTTCGTACTGATTTTAAATTTTTTTCCCCCCTCCGGAGATTTTTGGTCAACCGTAGCACAAAAACGGCTGCACCGATCAACATGAAATTTGGCAGGACTGTAGATGAGTCTGACCTACACTGCGTCAGCCAACGGTTTTATGATAGACCCCATATTTGAGGAGGGGGCTCCTTTCAAAGAGGGGGTGTCTGGACATGCAAAAATGCTTATAACTCWGAAACTGTTCAACAWAGRAGCTTCAGATTTTTTTTTGGTTGTTTAGCTCTGATGAAGCTCTATCCATCAGGCCCACCAATCACTGCCCCCACCCCTCCCGAACCCCCAATTCATCTGAAAAAGGGGTGTATGGACTTACAAAAAGGATTATTGCTCAAAAACTATTAAACATAGGAGCTTCAGATTTTCTTTKRTTGTTTAGCTCTGATGAGGGGCTATCCATCAGGTCAACCAGCAGAACAGAGCTCCTAATATGTATAATTTTAAACCAAACACTACTTGAATTAAGCTACAAAGGTGCAGCTCAACCAGCTTTTTCTTGGTCAAAAAGGATACATGTTATAGGAGTCTGGAACTCCTCCAAACAGACACTGCACGATATGATTCCTGTGTTTCGAGTTCGTTCCCTGGAAAACAGCCACTTTTCACCATGCAGCTCATCGATCAGTGCTTTTCAGGAAGCAATGAAAATCACAGTAATTACTCACATTTTGACATCACAAGATTTCTCGTGGTTACAGAACGGACAGGTGAACTGGGTGTCCAGGTTGCCCGTCATTTTTTTCTTAGGCGGTGGCTTTCGCTTTGATTTTCTGCGCCCCATTTTATCTCTGGAATAAAGGAAATAGAAAATAAGCAAGTATTTGTTTCTCATAAGATTCATATGAATTTAAAAACTTTTTACATCCTTTTATAGTTTTCTTCTGTTTATTGTTGACCTTTAATGGCTTTTTTATGTCTAGATGAAGCTACTGTAGAAATCAGTGTTGTTCAAAAGTAAAAGTCTGAATAATAGCAGAAACCCACGAGGATAACTTTAAAAATATCTGACTATAATCAGCTCCACACAGACCAGTCCTCTGAGTCAAAAGCTTTGAGCTGGTATCAGGAAACCAAAACAAAAACAGCCCAATCTGTTCCAGGATTAATCTAAGCAGAGATTCTGCAAAACTCAAAACTTCTACCTTCTACTCACATAATGATGAATTGACCTTATAATGTACAGTATGTGTCTTCCTGGTTACACCCCTGGAGGTGGTAACTTTTAAGTCAGATGTTAGAACGTACCCATCTTTTGTTTATGCTACAGCCAGAAAAAACACACACACACACACACACACACACACACACACACACACACACACA